ATAGATAGATAGACATATACATAGATAACAGATAGGTAGATAGGTAGATTAGTTAGAACATATATACATATATACCTATACCTATATACATACATCCATACATCATACGCACATACGTACATAATATATATATATATATATATATATAGTATAAACAGTAAAAAATTCATAATATACAATAAATAATAAACGATATATAATCAATAATTAATAATTAATAACAAAAATAATATAATGATATAATAATATACTAATATAACAACATATATATATGAGCGGGCCTGAAAACTATGGCGCTTGGGTTGCCGTGGTCCATGAGCGGTGCATGCCAAGTGCCATGCGTGCTTCGCGCATGCCCCATGTGATGTGAATGCAGCTGATGTGACTGTGAGGACTACAGTCACATTCAACTACACCTGTGCTTGCGGTGGGTAGAGCGAGTGGCCTACAGCCCACCTACCCCCAGCGTTTAGGGTTGCGAAGGCTTTTTATCGGTCACGGGTGTGCAGCAACTGTCACACATCACGTCACACTCACACTCACAACAACAACGGACAGTACAGCGAGTGGGATTCTACGATACACACTCTGAACTCGGGCAGTGGTTGACAACCCTAAACCCTAAACCCTAACATTTCTGAATCCTTTATAAATACGGTACAATGCTCTCAGTGTGCCATGAGGCGCTGTATGCTGCATCCAAGTGTCACACATTAACTCGTTGTTGTACATACACACACACATACATGCGTATACACCCATTTGTACATGTACATACACCTACACATACATGCGTATACACCCATTTGTACATACACATATACATACATGCGTCTACACCCATTTGTACATACACATACACATACATGCGTATACACCCATTTGTACATACACTTACACATACATGCGTATACACCCATTCTCCCGTGTGCGTGTACCTTGCGTGGCAGTTGGCTTGTCTGCAGTCGTCCTTGTTCGCCCATGCTCGTCTTCCAGGAGATATCCAGTTTGCCCACAACCGTTGCTGCTCTGGCCAGTGGGTCGTTGGGTGTCTTTGGGGTTAGGCGGTAGAGATACTGGCGTATGTCATTGGGGTTGATATAAGGGAGACGGCCCATGGTGCTGATAGATCCCATGCCAGCATCTGTGTTGGGCAATGGAAGGCTTGTGTGTGAGGAGGAGCATGTGGTGCGGTGCAAATAGGTAGGTGTAAGGCTGAGGAGAGTGGGAAGTAGGTCTAAAACACTAAAACCCTAATCGAAGTCAACTACTATGACCATAGTACGCCATCTGATCATACACGCCTCTGAAGTTAACTATACACTCGTTGGCCGACATGAATTGAGACTGCTGCTGCTAGCGAGCAAGCCTAGCGCAAATGCTCGACTATCAAGTAAAATAGTATACAGTTAGCATTCTTTCTCAGATGCAGAATTGTCTTTTCCATGGGTGCCATGGGGATGAATGTATATAAGTCTTTGATTCTCACCGTGTGTGTTCGTGTGTGTCATCGTGATGTATGTGTGTAAGTCATTAATTCTCACCGTGTGTGTTCGTGTGTGCCCAGGTGATGCATGTGTGTAAGTCATTGATTCTCACCGTGCGTGTTCGTGTGTATGTCTAGTGTGCATGTCGAGATAAAGAGATATAATACGACTGCGATAGCGGTCACGCGAAGGAAATATATGTGTGTGCACATACGCCACCCTGTGTGACTGTGGCCCTCTCATACACGTCCAACTAACCAAACCATTCACAACATCAGACCAACCACATGGCCACACACACCTCCAATGGCTGCCAGGCCGGTGGGGGTGTCCTTGCCTAGGCGTCTCCTGATTTCCTCAATGTCTGACTTATTCACAGAGTTCAGGTCAGACAGTGTGAAGAGTGGGTTGGGGTCGAAACGCACACTCTCCACTAACATAGGCACGGCAATTAGATTCTGCACCTGTTTGGTGGATCATATGGCTCAATGAGTGCCTTGATAATTGTGGGATAACAACCCTGTGCTACTAAGAACAAAACCCTAAACCCTAAATGCTCTCATGGCTGACATACCTGTGCTTCTAAGAAGACCTCCTTCTCGACATTGTAGACTTTCGTTTTGACCGCCAACGGATTCTTGATGACGAATTTGAATGATTTGCGGAAGAAGACATCGAACCCTGACACAGCCGTATGAACATGTGTATGAGATATCCAACGTAAAACAGCACTTTTGAACATAGTCTGTTGTGAATATACGCGCTATAGTACAAAAAGGCCAGAAGTGGCTTCGAAAATGGGTCTGAATTGAAGATTGGGAAATTCTGACCAAATCAGTGACCATAAAATCTGATGGTTTCTGAGCGGTGTAAATCCTTAGCATATCAACACTTGCTTGACTACGTTTTGGAAGTGATAATCCGAGTTCCTTTGAACTACCATGCTAAAACGTATTCACTACTAGTTGTCACCTCAGTTGATTAACTACCATACCATACGTGTGTGTATATATATCGCACAGGTATTTGTACATGTCACATGCATTTGTAAATATACACGTCACATGCATTTGTATATATACATAGCACAAGTGATTCTGAAAAGAATTCGAATGCCCACACACATGCTTAAAAATTGTATCCCAGTTGCTATGCAACGCAACGCACGCATTCTATGGGCCACCCGCCACTTCTCTTAAAAGGAGAAACAGTCACGTTGATAAGCTGAGATGCGGTAACTATGGCAACTAAAACCCAACTACAACCCACACCATTGTAAAGCCCAACCGTACACGTGTAATCACCTGCACCAAAGTCTATGCCACAAACCTCCCGTAATGACCCAATTGAACACACGTATAAGTGAACGTACCTTCGGGTGTTGTATACGCCACTTGACACACGAGCGTGTGCTTGCCCATTTCCTTCACCTCATGCGTCACGATGGTGTCCACGCTGCCCCCGTCTTTGATCTCCTGCGTTGCGGTGGCAACCGATTGGTGAATGCGTGCAGCAGACGACCGTGTTTGAGATTCGATAACGTGCACGAGTGGACTGCACGGCAGAGCCACCCACGGAGACGCGGAGATACACAGCGCATACTAGTTGAGTGTGTAGCTATATGCACAGTGGTTGTTTGTTGGATGTGTGGGTGTGCTACTTATAGTAGATCAGTGTGTAGCTACATGTACAGTTTGTTGGATATGTGGGTGTGTTGCTTATAGTAGATGATGGTGTAGTTGCATGCCCAGTGGCTGTTTGTTGGATATGTGGGTGTGCTACTTATAGTAGATGATTGTGTAGTTACATGCCCAGTGGTTGTTTGTTGGATGTGTGGGTGTGCTACTTATAGTAGATGAGTGTGTAGCAACATGTACAGTTTGTTGGATATGTGGGTGTGCTGCTTATAGTAGATGATTGTATAGCTACATGCCCAGTGGTTGTTTGTTGGATGTGTGGGTGTGCTACTTATAGTAGAT